AGTCTGACAGCTCGCGAAGCCGCTTGTTGGCTTGACAGCTCTCGGCAGCACTCTTACAGCCTGCAGCGCTGCTTTTGCCTTTGATTCGCTACCTAGACTATCCACTTTTGTGCGGAACTTCAACCCCGTTCTTGACACGGTCACTAAACCCTGCTTTGGTCGCAGTCACTAAACCCTGCTTTGGTCGCAGTCACTAAACCCTGCTTTGGTTGCAGATCCCCAATCTTACCTTGAGGACTTTATTTGTGCACCCCTGACTGCTGCAAGTTCTGGGCTCCAGGGAGAGGAAGTGGCTTCTTCCCTGTACGGACCACCACTTGTCACGACCGCCTCAAAACAGCAATGACAACGCAACAACAGAGCTCTTCTTGCGCGCAGTTTATTCAGGACCTTGAACAGTTGTTTCTCTCTCTCTTCTCTCCCGTTTCTGTCCCGGGGCAGACCTCTCCCAGCCCTTATATAGCCTATGGTCGCCTATCCCGGAGTGCCACGTGGACATCGTCCATAGGCTCAAGCATACGCAAGTGACACAGGATCATGGCAGGTCATGGGCCATCACCGTAAAAGGAGTTGTTTATTACAGAGAGTGCTCACTTTCAGGCTCGCAGAGGGCAGCAGCTGGCACCATCTTAAAGGCGTGGCTCCATGCAGCTCTCTACACCTAGCCTCAGCCAGAAGCTGAGAAGTAATTGACACTTGATAGCTGACAGAAGGGAAAGTCTTTTTCTTCATGTCAACCACTGGTAGGTCAACCATATCCCAAGTCCGTTTCACTACCAAGATTAGTTGTGTAACACCAAAAGGAGGAGGAGGAGATGGAGGAGGAGGAGATGGAGGAAGAAATAGGATAAAGAGGACAAGGTGGTGGTAGAGGAGGGAGACCCACTATTCACTCATTCATTCATTCATCATTCATTCAATCATTCAGGTTTTCCAAAGTAGGGTTTCTCTGTGTACCCCTGGCAGGGCTGGAAGTCACGCCATAGACCAGGCTGGTCTAGAACTCACAGAGTTTGTGTTGTCCAGTATCAGTATTGTGCATTTCTTTCCTCAGAGACTGGAACATTCAAGCCTGCAGGGAAGTTCCTTAAACAGGAAGGTCAGCAATTCAAAACAGCTTCAGGAAGGAACTCTCTGAAACTGACCAAATTCTGTCTCTTCTCCCCAAGATGTAAACAAGCCAAGCTTCTCCGAGTTCCTCTCAGACAAGACAAGCTACAAAGAAGACTCTGAGACCAGACCAGCTACCTGGTAGAAGCAGAAAACAGCCTTGCTGCTTGGAAGAGGCTTAGACCAGCTAGGACTCAAAGGACACTCTTCTACCTGGGGAGCTGTAGCAGGCTGTGCAGTGTGCTCCACATTCCCAGCTCTTGCGAGCTTGTCACTGAACCTGGGGCGGCCTTTGGTGGTGCAGCTGTCTTTGAATCACTGATGCACCTGTACGTCACCTCTCACCCATATTCCTGGAAACAATGCCCATAAAGCTCATTGGCTCACCAAGCTGGACGTGGTGGCATCTGTATTTGGTCCCTCGCAGGCTTCCTATCTGGGGTGAGGAGCAGTGTATGTTACATCTTCTGGGAAACAGAGTAGTCACACAACAGGTGGGAAGGTATGGGAGGATAGACAGGGTGGTTATGGGAGGGGAAGTGGTGGTTATGTCTGGGGTCTTTCAGGCACCGTTCACCCGTCTGAGTGTAAGGAATCTTAACATCTATGTCCTGCAGATGTCCTGGCAGCCTGTTGAGCTGGACGCAAGCTTGACTACGAAGCAGAAATAGCAGTTGGCCTTCTCATCTGTTATCTTGCAACAACAGTGAAATGTACAAGGTCAGCCGATTTCAAGAGTAGTTTAGTGAAGCATGCTGCTAGGGTACAGCTTGTACAACCTAGGGGCTTGCATCCTAACGGCATCTTTGCCTTTTGTCTCTAAAGCACAAGGAGTTTAAACTTTAAACATAATGTTCATCATCACAATGGAAATATTTGGTGGAGAGGGTGATGAATATGGTCAAAATACATCATCTGAAATTCTCAGAGAATTAAAATTAGCCTTTAAAAGAAGAGAAAGCAGCTAATACTGGCAGGGATGTGGACAACAGGGGCCCTTACACAGTGCTAATGGGACTATAAACTAGTTTGGCCACTGTGAGAGTTTGTACACGTTTCTCAAAACAAAACACATTGGAAATAAATCATCCATATGACCCAGCTATGCTCCTCCAGGATATTCACACAGAGGACTCCAACGTACCACAGAGGTCTTCACACCTGTGGTCACTGCAGCACTAAGTACAAAAGCCAATTAGGAAACAAGATAGCCCTGGACAGAGGCTTAGACAAAGAAAAGGTGCTGTCCATACAAGATGGGATTAGAAGTATGTTGTTTTCAGGAGAGTGAACCCAACTGTGAAAGATCCTATTGTGTGATTAAGCCAGCTGCAGTCCTAGAGTCTATATACATACGTGAAAGCTCTACATACATGACACGGCACTGAAGTACTGGCTTTTTGAAACATACTCTCTTTGGAGGAAAACCTTGCCCAGCCTAGATATAGTGGAGAGAGCCTCGGTACTACCCCAAAGCAATGTGCAATACTCTGTTGACTCCCCATGGGAAGTCTTACCCTCTCTGAGGAGTATCGAATGGAGAGTGTGCTAGGGGCTAAAATAGAGGGAGTGGGAGGAGGGGGAGGGAGCAGAAACTGGGATTAGTATGTACAATGAGAAAAGATAGTTTTTAAAAATTTCAGTTTAAAATGGAACTAGATTTAACCATTATGATAGTGAGATACAAGAAGGAAAACAGTCAACATAGATACATACACAAAATCTTTATTAAACTTTGGGAACTGGAGAGATGACCCCATGGGTAAGAACCCTCGCTGCATTGCAGAGGACTGTGGTGTAGGAGGTTCTTCTGTTCATGTGTAGCTTTCATTGGTTAACGAATAAAGAAACTGCTTTGGGCCTGATAGGGCAGAACTTAGGTAGGTGGAGAAGACAGAACTGAATGCTGGGAAGAAGGGCAGAGAGGGAGATGGCATGGATCTTCTACCCGAGATGGATGCTGATTAGAATCTTGCCAGTAAGCCACAGTCATGGCAATACACAGATTAATAGAAATGCGTTAAATTAAGATGTAAGAGTTAGCCAATAAGAAACTAGAGCTAATGGGCCATTTATCCCTGTAACAGACCTGGTTTGGTTCCCTGTAACCACAAGGTGACTAACAGTCTCTAACTTCAGTGAGGTCACTCATTAAGACTACATTGGAGGACTGGAGAGATGGGTCAGGAGTTAGGACACTGGCTACTCTTCCAGAGGATCCCCTGGTGGTTTACAGCCATCTGTAAATACAGTTCCAGGGGATCCAGCGCCCTCTTCTGGCATCCATGGACACTACACCCAAATGGACCACAGACATATTTACTATAAAAAAATAACTCTTGTTTTAACATCAGTCTCCTAAGTAAGACCCCATGCCAATGAGGGTGATAACTGTTATGTAGGATGGTGAGGCAGAGCCCTGGCTGACAGGCAACTTTGGCTCTTGCTCCTGGCACAGTGTCTGTCTTGAACATGGTAGTTACTGTTGTTTCTCTGGCAAGAGTTGGGTGAGCTTAGAGTGTAGGCCAGGCTGTCCTGGGACATGGAGATCACAGTTGTCTCCCATGGTCCTGGATTCTCAGTCCTAACGTTCAGGAATAAACCCCTTGGCCACAGGAGAAATTCTGTGAGCTGTCATACAAGGATGGCCAGTGCTGTGATGGATGGAAATTCGCACATGCTCAGAACAGGCGGTCGGGACCCATGCCTGCCTCCCTGCCCTCCTTTCGTCTCACTTCCCTTAGCCCACTCTGCTCTGTACATGAGAGAATTCATTTCCTGGAAACCGACCACTTCCCCATCTTAGCGCCGTTTCCAAGAACAGCGTCTCTTCCTGGAAGGCTTCCTGCCGTCTTCCCATGTAAAGATCTACTCTGTTCAGTCAGAACCCAAAGAGTTCTGCTTGAGAAGAACTTCTGACACAGCCCTCCCCTCAGTCAACAGCAGTTCAAAAATAACCACTCCTGAAGTAGAGGGGGGAGACGTGTGTGTGTGCGTGTGTGTGTGTGTGTGTGTGTGTGTGTGTGTGTTGATCCAGAGATAGAGCTTAGTGGGTAAGAGCATGGAGTGTTCATGCAGACTGGATCCTATCAGTCAGTCTAGGGACTCACAGTCACCTGTAACAGCTCGTTGGTGTTCCAGCACCCTCTTCTGCATCCACATGTGGGGGAGATTTGGGCATGGGGGCACACAAACGCAGGCACCCTCACATACAGAGAGACACACAGAGAGGTAAAAGTAACACATTTAAAGACAAAAATAATAAATGGACATTTCCAGAAATAAACACTCAAGATTCATATTTTAAATTTTATGCCAATCTGAATAGCACAGTGAGAACTCAGGCTTCCCATGTCCTTCCCTGGGGATCACTAGGGGCTACCATTTTTATCAGCTGGATGCACTCTTGGCCACAATGCAGGGAAATAATAATCAAAATGCCATCAGACAGCCCACAAGTTAACACCGCATTAGGGATTAGCCTTAATGAGATCAAACGCATGTTGGCACATGTATATGCAAGACAGTTGTTGTGCCCAGATCACGACCCCCAAAGAGAGACCATCAGAGAGGCCCAGACTGTAACAAGCAAGGTTTAATCAGCATAATACAAACATGTTTGGAACTCATCTCCATCCCCGTTACAACAAGGTAGAGAGGAGTTGTATCTCCTCTGTGGGGTAAGCTTTTAAAGGCATAACTACAAAGAGAGTCTTTGAAGATGCTTTGGCATGGGTACAAGGACTTTTGCTCCCTCCCATTCTGTTAAGTCAGCTTTTTTTCTTGTTTTTAGAGAGGCCACTGTTCTTGAGTTAGGCCATCTTTATCAGCCTGTACCAGGTGGCTGGCTGGGTTGAGCTAAGTTGCCTTGTGCTCAGAATATCCCGGGTGGGAGAGGGGAAGGCCACTATCTTCCTGGGAAAACATTCTGCTAGGAAATTTCTTCTTGCCCCTTTGAGAATAAGGAGTGAGGGAGGGTCCCACACAGTGCCGTGGTTTAGCTCATTTGCAGAGACCCAGGTTTGATTGCCAGCTCCCGCATGGTAGCTCACAACCCCTTGAAACTTCAGTTATGGGAGTTCCAGTAACCTCTTCTAGCTTCCTCAGTAACCAGGCACTGGGGTAGTACACAGACATCCATGCTGGCAAAACACCTGTAAACCCCAAATAAATCCCATGTGTGCCTCACAGGGCAGCTGTAAAAAATACACTGACGAACAGGAGAGGAACATAACTTAACCACATGCCTGTTCTGGAGGACTCTTGTCCTGTGCTCCCCTTCTTCTTGTCCCTGTTCATTCTTACCTGCAGAAAAATTAAAAGCAAGAAGGAGCACCCAGTTCCTGAACAGCCTGCTGAGGAGACCGGCTTCTTCTCAGCGGGCCCCTGGGGGCATCGTATGGTGAGTCAGGTCTGTTGTGATCCAGCTGCCCTCACTCCCCCTGACCGAGAGCGGAACTTCCTTGTGGTCTGTAATTGACAAGGATGTTTGTGTTCTTTCTGGCTGGTGGGGCTCCACAAAAGGAACAGAGGTATAAATGGTTGCTGGGCAAAATAAAGCTTGCTGTTCTTCCACGGGTCTCAACCCCGGCACTCCCTCCCAGTCTTGGCTATCCAGGCTGCGCTGGCTGCAGCAAGGTCCTTGGGAACTCCTGGACTGCCCTGGATCTTAAAATCCTCTGCAGCCAGCACCATGATCCTCTCTCCTGCCCCATGCTGCTATCTAGTGAACAATGGTCCCCCTGCTCGTTGGCGAATCTGCTTCAGAGGATGTGATGACCTGGGGCTGGGAGCTGAGTTTTTGTCATTTGAGATGGGAGTTCTAACAATCTGCAAGTTTCCTTACCATCGCGACCATTGCGAATGCAGTCAGTGAAGCTGACCTGGGTCCCCATCATCTTTGCTGAACCTGAAGGGAAACACAAGCATCTCTTCCTGGCGATAATTTAAAATTTATAATTAAGGTCTTTTCTCTCTTTGATTCTGTCTTTATTACTAACTCCACAAATCTTTCGTGAAATCTTTACATATTCTCATGTGGGTTTTAAGGCAAAACCCGATCCTGGACCTATGTACTTCATAGGTTCCTCGACTGTGGAAGGGACTTGGTGGATCCAGACATCAGTGGGTAGGCTGTGACCAGCACTCAGAACAGACAGGTGGGAAGAAAAGAAATGATCTAGTTTAATGCCCTACCTTATTCTGTTTCCCATTGTATGATCCCAATGATATGCGGTTGGAAATAGTAAACCCACAAAAAGAAGCAGAGAAAGAATGAGGCCAGAGCCTGTGGGAAGGGGAGATGGGGAACACTCACTATGAAGTCCCAGTTAGACAAGACAAGTGTCCTAGTCAGTATTGTTCTTTTAAAAGAATATGATGATGGAATGCCCTGGGCGGCTCGCGGAGTCCGACAAGGATGGCCGTGAGTCCCTGCATCGCCATGCGGCCGGGGAGTCAGGCGGGCGGTTACGGCGGTGGCGGGAGGAGGGTCCAAAAGTGGCTGGGATGGGCGTGGTTAGTTCTTAAAATGTCCCAATGGAATAACAGTCAGGGTCACTGTTGCCGTGATGAAACACCATGGCCAAAGGCAAGTTGAAGAGAAATGGGTTTATTTGACTTACACTTCCACAACTGAAAGAAGTCAGGACAGGAACTCAAACAGGTACAGCGGACGTGGTCGATTGATAATTAAAAATCAGCAAAATTAGCTTAATACAAAAGATACAGCTTTAATAAACAGAAGGAAGATTACATCGGAGTCCCAACGGTCCGTCCAGAATGCAGGGGTCAAGAGAGAGCAGGGAAGTGCACCCTCCAGGTTTATAGGTAAATTTTTGCCTTAGGGCAACACGCCCCACGGACAGAATGTGATTAGCTGAACTCCCCTATCATCTCCCCCTTTTGTCTAAAATAAGAGAACAAAACCAAATACAACTATAAAGAATAGAAACAAATAATAAATATAAAATTACAAACAACAAACAATATTAAGCAGGAAACATATAACAAAAGTTTTACTAAACATTCTATTTCAAGGAGTCTAAATAATGTAGATGGTAACTACAACTATCTAATCTTCAACTCCATCAAAGATCTGAGAAGTGAAATAATTTTACTCAAGCAGCCCGGAAGTACAAGCGGGAAACTTCCGAAATGTGCAACAAATGGAAGAGACAACTGATTACCTGGGCAATCATCCAAAGTCTCGTTTGCAATGTTGAGTCAACCAACTTTGGCTAAGGCCTGATGTAACTGACATGCCATTTTCAAAGGCAAGGAACCTATAGAACTCTCTTACCCTGTTTTGGCAAGATAAGACAATCCTGTTTTTATCCATTTATGGATATTCTGTAATTCTGTCAGTGGTCGAGGTATGGGCTTTTTCTTTGCCCAAAGGTCAGTTCTGCCAGGAAGAAGACAAGGAACCCAGGGGCCAAGAGAGGGCGGGGAAGCACATCCGCCAGGTTTATAGGTAAATTTTTGCCTTAGGGCAACACGCCCCACGGACAGAATGTGATTGGCTGAACTCCCCTATCAAACAGGGCAGGAACCTGGAGGCAGGAGCTGATGCAGAGGCCATGGAGGAGTGCTGCTTACTGATTTCTTATTTTGCTCAGCCTGCTTTTCTACAGAACCCAGGACCACCAGCCCAAGGGTGGCACCAGCCATAATGGGCTGGGCCTCCCCCATCAGTCACTCACTGCCAGCTTCTGAGAGAGGTAAAGTAAGTTTCCTTTAAGGATGAGGTCCCTGTTAGGTTGACCACACTCCAGGGGTGATTCAAATACCCGAGTCTATGAAAGGACAAACTGAACTGGTGGTAGGCTATTTCTTAAAAAAAAAAAGGATACTAAGTCGGAGGTGTATATTGATCTGGGAAGACTTCAATCAGTGGCTCTCAAACTTTCTAATGTTGCAACCCTTTAATACAATTCCTCATATTGTGGTGACCTCCAACCATAAAATTATTTCATAACTATAATTTTGCTACTTATGAGTTGTTATATAAATATCTATGTTTCCTGGTCTCTTAGGCAACCCCTGTGAAAGGGCCATTCAATTCTCAAGGGGGTGCAACCCACAGGTTAAAAACTGCTGAGTTAAAGGGAGGAGTGAGGGGTATAATTCATTAAAATACAATGTATTTGTAAAGAAAATTCTCAATAAAAACATTGTATTTTAAAAATGTCATCACCATAAAATAGTAAGTATGTAAGCTAATACATATATTTTCATTAAATCCATTTTATCATTTCACATTATACATTTTAAGTATGTACAATTTTTATTGTTCAACAAAATGTTTAAATTTTGGGGCTGAAGAGATGGCTCAGCAGTTAAGAGCACTGCCTGCTCTTCCAGAGGTCCTGAGTTCAATTCCCAGCAACCACCAGTAGTAAGATCTGGTGCCCTCTTCTGGCCTGTGGGCATAAATGCAGGCAGAACACAGTATACATAATAAATACATAAATCTTTTTAAAAAAGTGATTAAACTTTTAAAACTGGATTCAGGCTGGCCTTGACCTCACAGAAATCACCCTGCCTCTAGCCCTGAGTGCTGAGATTGGAGCTATGTGCCGTCATGCAACAGCCCAAATTCACTGGATTCTAAATATCAGTAAATAAAATCAGCAGAGGTAGGATTTGCTAGATGCTTGCAAAGTGAGTATTTAAGACTTAAGCATTTTTATAGAAAGTCCATTTGTATTGGTGATCTGATGTTTCAAATATGCTTTACAAAAACTTCAACACGGGTGAAGAGATGGTTAACTATTGCTAGGGACTGGAGAGATGGCTGAGCAGTTCAGAGCACTGGTTGCTCTTCCAAAGGTCCTGAGTTATTTCCCAGCAACCACATGGTGTTTTAACTCAAGCCTTTAATCTCGGCTATGAGGGAGGAAGAGACAGGATAGTTCTGGGGTTTGCTGGATGCCAGCGTAGCAAAGACAAGTTCCAGGTTTAGGGAGATACCATACCCTCAAAGGAGGAGGCAGACTGACAGAGGAAGACAGCCATGCTGACCTCTTCTGTCCCGTGTGTACACTCTGGCACATGTGCATACCAGTGCACATTCTCTTAGACACACAACCTCATACACAAACAGACTAATCCTCAAAAGAAGAAAAAATCTGCAATAAAATTTTTATATTACTATATAAGACAAAGAAACAAATTTAGCAAAAGTCAGTTAACTGATACTTACCTTGTTTTGCTATTACTAGCTACAATTATTATTTCTTTTAAAACAAAATCTATCTCTTCTAGTTCATTAAGGCTCTGAAAGCAAAGAGCCTGCACTATTAACTACTCCGTGAAGACACATGAAGCTGCATACCTCTTTTAGCTCTGGCCAGTCGATAAGATGCAGCTTGGTTGGAGGTCCAGAAATGAGGTGCACACGAATAAAGTCAGAAAACTCTCACCAAGTAAAACAAAGATCCTTATGCCCAGGAGGACCTGGGATGAATCTGATGCCTCGTACAGTTATACTCTGTGTGCTGGCCTAGTGAAGAAAAACACAGTGAGGAAACACATGCTGCTGTTGCTTAGTTTTTTTTTAAGCTGCATCATTCACCTACTGCTATTCCTCTTATGTCAATGGCAAAGATCTAAAACACTGGGAATACAACTCTTTTTTACCTTATTTTCTCATAATTTCCCCATTTCCTGTACAGGTTATCTTTTGATCAAAATGCTTAAAACCAAGTATTTCAAATTTGGAGTTCTCTAAATTTGTTTGTTTGTTTGAGATAGAATCTATGTAGCTCTGGTCTGGAACTTCACTATTTAGACCAAGTTAGCATTGACTACAAAGAGATTCTCAGGTATGCCTCGAATTTAAACAGATTTGCCTATCTATGCATGCTCCCTGGTGCTGGGACTGAAGGCATGTGCCACTATGCTACACCCAGTCTGGCCTGAGCTCTCTGAATTTCATAATATTTGCATGGATTGGTTAAGATTCCTAATGTAGCCAGGCACTGGTGGTGGCAGACAGACCTCCATGAGTTCAAGGCCAGCCTGGTCTACAGAGTGAGTTCCAGGACAGCCAGCACTACACAGAGAAACTTGGTCTTGCACCCCTGCAAATGCCCCCCCCAAAAGATTCTAATCTATAAATATGAGATACTCCAAAACCCAGAAATATTTGAGTGCCATTTTAATAGTCAAAATTCTTTGGATTTCAGAACATTTCAAATTTTCTATTAGGGATCCTCAATCTGTATTTGTGCTTTTCTTTAAAGCAAGCACTTGGCTCTTGTGTTTGCGCCTGAGTTTGTAATTTTTTTCCATATGGCTTTTCTTCAGATATTTCTATAGATGATATCTTAATTTAACAACAATGGCCTTTTCTGAACACCCTACATAGTAAAATACTATTATCTTTACTAGTTTTTTGCCTGCTCTTCCCTTGGTCAAGGTGATATTCGGCACTGACTTGTAGATGGACTAGGGCTTTTGCTGCTGCTTACCAATTATTCACAGTAATGGTTACCACACCCCACTGAGTCACTGAAACTAGCTAATAACCTTTGCACTATGACTAAACTGGTTCTAGACCAGAAAGAACACAAAAGTACTCACATTCGAATAGTGGCTATTACTGATCCCATGTCCTAAATTGCTAGGGACAGAGATACGCAGTGAGAGTTCAGCATGCACTTCAGGGGTCAGCCCATCAGAGATGCTTATCTCATGGAGGACGGACTCACTTAGCAAGGCGACGAGGAATACTGTCACCAGAGATGCACATCTGATGGCGATCCCTTATTTAGGAGTGTGCTAGCTGTCCTCACTGCAGACTGCTGTGTGAAGAGCTCTTTCCCTCACATTACAGCTCAGGGGTTTTCCGCACAGCACTATAGTGTATTAATTGTTGACTGGGCCCAATTTCCCCTATGCACTGGTGTACTGATGACTTTTCCCAACAGGACATGATTCTGGCAAGAAAGTAATCACAGTCAATACCCTGACTCTCTTAACGAGGTCCTTGAATAAATTTAGAAATCTGCCCCCTGCAATTATCTTTCTTGGCAGACAGTTGGTCAGTGCTAGTGTCCAGGCAAAGAGACTGCTGTTGAGATGCTCACAGATGCCCAAGGACAAGAATTATGGCCTGTCTGAAGTTGTTGAGCCATAGCTCTCAGAGAGACAGAGAAGACCTATTTAATTTTTATGTGCGTGGGTGCCTATGCACCACTTGTGTGTCAAAGGGAACTTTTAAAGATGAGCCATACTACAAGCATGTTTATGTGCTGATGCAAGTGATCTAATGACCTGGGAGTACTCAAAGTATACAACAGCAGGTTACATTTCAGGACCAATGAGATCAAAGACGAGAGGACCCCGAGCCCATGGGTCCACAGGGTGACAAGAAGCAGACGGCCTACTCATAGCAACAGCAGTCGGGCATTCACCCTCTCATCTCAGCAGCACACAGAACTGAAGGGAGATGACAGGGTGCTCTGAGGTCGGGAAGAGCAGACTTCACACAAACACAACAGCCTAAGAGAAAAGGCAGAGACCAGTGAGGAAAGGTAGCAAAGGAGGCTATTCTCATGGTTATCCTGCCAAGTAAAAAGCATACTGCAGTCGACGAATCAAATTCTGTACATCTGGGAGAACTCCTTTTTCTAACCTACACTTCTGGCGTGTTTCATCAGGACCTAATTCCAGAACATTCTTTTATCTGATGCTGGCTTTGTCCTTCTTAGGAAGAGTGCTGTATGCTTGTTTTAAGTTCCAAGAATTCTACCAGGGCCTTTGCTTTTCAAGCAAGACTGAATTAACAGCACAGGGCAAAGTCATACAGTGAGTTTTCTTCTCAGAATCCAGTTTTAATGCAGGGAGTAAGCGCCTAACTGAAAATCTGCATATTGTGCACACACAGGTCGGCATGTGTGTGTGTAAACACTCACAGTGAACACTGTAACAATGACAACTTGCTCCAAAGGGAAATGTCAATGGGAACACGATGATGGCTGAAAGTGACGATGGGATCAGAGGAAACATCTGCTATTCTGGCTACTTTTGCTTGTCAAGGTAAAAATTAATTTTGTTTTGAAAGCTCTGGGCCTCACAAATGCTACCCCTACAATTTTTTAAATAACAGTTTTAATTTCTATGAAGAATTTAGATACAAGGTCAAGGCTAATAAGATGATTCATCAAGTAAAAAAGGAACCGGCCGCCAAGTCCGAGTTCAGTATTTGGGATGCCCACAGCTCTCCTTTGATCGCCACATGTGCGCTATGTCAAGCGTTTAGCCATGTGTAGTACATACAAACATACACAGATAAAACACTGTTTTGAAAAATGAAAAATAGTATTATGTAAAGCCACTTTTATCTTTTTCATTTTTCTCCAGCTTTTGTCACATACAAAACCAGTTTTATAAGGTAGTTTATACGGTAGTTTTATAAGGTAGTTTATAAGGTAGTTTTACCCCCAGAATGGTTTTCAAGTTAGAGTTATCACGTCCAACTCCAGCAACTGACAAAGCAGGTAAGAGCTGAAAATTCTAAAATCTCATTTCCATACTGATCTGCAACTGTAATGACTTAAAAAATAAAAAAGCTTTAAGCTAAAATCCTTTTTAAGATAGAACTTATACATAAAATATACTTTGAAGCTTTAATTTACTGTCATACATAGATAATTGATGGTTATACTTATTTCTCTTACAATCACTAAACTTGTATTACCTGTGCAGGAATGTCTAAATACTGCTATTAACCAAGTGACTTTATTTTCTGAGATACATCACTGTTAATACTATTCTTATTTGTGAGGTGCTAGGGACTGACGACCAACCTGCATACAGGGCAGATATGCTCTACAAATGAGTTACATCCCAACGATTCAATAGTGATGTAGGAGGTCCTTCTGTATTTCTCTTACTTTCATTGGTTAATTAATAAAGAAACTGCATGGCCTGATAGGTCAGAACATAGGTGGGTGGAGAAGACAGAACAGAATGCTGGGAGAAAGAAAGCAGAGTCAGGCAGACACCATGATTCCCCTTCCCGAGACAGACACTGGCTAGACTCATGCTGGTAAGCCACGACCTCGTGGTGGCATACAGATTATTAGATATAGGTTAGTCAAGATGTAAGAGTTAGCCAATAAAAGGCTAGAACTAATGGGCCAGGCAGTGTTTAAATGAATACAGTTTCCATGTAATTATTTCGGGTAAAGCGAGCCAGGCAGCGGAAAGGGGCCTGCTGCTCCTTTTACAGATGGCACCAACGTGTGGACAACTGTATCTACATAAAGCCTGAGACAGCTTGGGAAGTAATTCTAGAACAAAATAACAACACTATGCATGGTTTCTTGGTAGCAGCAATTTCTCAGTTCTGCTCTGCTTGATAGAGGCAAGCAAGTGCTCTCATCTAAGAGAGGCTTCCTGACTCAGCTTTAGTCGCAAAACCCTGCAGCTCTTTAAAGAGGTCCTACCACAAAACACTTAAATAGTGTTGATAAAAAGCTGACTGCATGCTTTTCGGTTTGTAGCAGGAAAAAAGCTGCGCCGTTTTAAAATGCTGGCTTTCTGGGCCATCCTGCCAGGGCAAACTCTGACTCTTTCAGGCAGGCAGTCCAACTGAGTGTGGTATATGAGCAGAATGCTGCAGCCTGCTTGCTGGCAAGGACCTTAAAACACTGTAGAGTTGTGACAATAAAAATGGCTACAGTCAGTACCTCTGCCATGAGGCTGGAAAGCTAAGGAATGGGTTGGATCTAGCTTTAAACGCCATGGCTTTAGTCCTATCGATATTGCTTGGTAAATTAAAGACTCATGTGGTCAGAAAAAGAGAGATATACAGTAAAGAGAGATTCAAAGACAAAGAAAACCTCTAAATGGTTTACAGTGTGTTAAAAATATATGCAGGCTTGAAAAAAAACAGGGTTAAATTCCTTAAAAATAAAAAAGAAAGAGAGTAGTTTGGTGTGGTGGTACACACCTTTAATCCTAAAGCTTGGGAGGCAGAGGCAGATAGACCTCTGTGAGTTCAAGGTGTGGTAGCACACACCTTTATTCCCAGCACTGGGGAGGCAGAGAAAGATGGATCTTTGTGAGTTCAAGGACAGCCTGGTCTGCAGAGTTATTCCAGGACAAAGGACAAAGATATACAGAGAACCTGTCTCAAAAAGTAAAAGTAAAAATAAAAGACATAGAGAGTAAAGTAAAGCAACATAAAGATGGAAAATACACAGAGAATCTGGATACTGTATGCTATTATACTCTCTTTGAATTGTTTGAATGCTGAGGAAGGAGCAACAGCTGCTAAAAGGTATTTGTTTATAAATGCTGCTGAATTAACCCAAGATAGGTATTCTGAAAATACCTTGACTTCAAAATTAAAGTCAAAAGGAATGTTACTTTGGAGAAGAGATTCTGCTTTTGTTTCCACAGGAAATGAGAGGCTGTGGATTCATTCTGACATAAGAAAAATCCAGTTTGATCAAGGAAGACCACCTGAGAAATCTCCAGCAGGAATAGATGACCCAGATATCTGAGTTCTTCATCCAGAACAGATTCAAGACTGCTGCCTGAGATGATCAAGACTCACAGGATACTCCAGTCAGGACTTGATTATAATTGAATTTTCTTTAGGTCCCCATAAGATTATCAGCGCCCCCAACCAGCAGGAAGTAGCCTGGAAAACTACGCCCACATCCCCCCCAAAATGGACTATGGATATTTTCCTTTGTTTAAAAAAAAAAGAAGGGGAAGTGGTGTGGAAGAATTGTCTCTATTCTGTCAACCATGTATTTTAATAAAACGCTGATTGGCCAGGCAGGAAGTATAGGCGGGTCAACCAGACAGGAAGCAGAGGTGGGGCGATGAGAACAGGAGAAGGCTAGGAAGGAGGAAGCCAATTCCTCCCATTCCTGCCCTGACCACCGAGAAGCAAGATGTAACCTGCCCAGCTGTGAAAGGTACCTAGCTATGTGGCTAGCATAGATAAGAATAATGGCTGAATATAAGCTACAAGAGCTAATAAGTAGCCTGAGCTAATGGGCTAATCAGTTTTATAACTTATAGAGATCTCTGTGTAATTTTCTTTGGGATCTTGCTGGCTGTGTTGTACCGGGTGGGACAGAAATCCCCACAGCTGGCCCCCATGTTACAAATGGTGCCCAATATGGGGCATCTCAAAGCATAAGTTCACAAACCTGATTGTAAATGCACTTTCCAGAGACACATGGTCATCTTGGAAAGAAACCTGACAGTAGCTCACATCTTTCACAGATGTTGGTACTTGTACACCAGGAAGCAAACCTTGTAGCAAATGTTCTCTGTTAACCTCAGGAGTCCAGTTAACCTAGGAGAGAACACACATAAGACAAAGCTGAGAGGCTTCGCACAAAGTCTTCTCATAACCACTATTTTCTAAAGACTAAAACAGCCTGTTCCAGGTAGAACAGGCTGCCCCCAAATTTATGTCTTTTAGGATGGACACAAACTCATGATCCTCCACCTCCAAACTGCTTGGATTATAGAAATGCACCACCATACCTGTTATTCTCCTGGGGAACTACATTTGCCAGGAGGCTCCTGTGCACAGGCGCAGAGTACAGCATCGTCTGCCTGACTCGGAAGACTTCATTTCCCAGAAACACATGCACCCACAATGCAAAGCAAAAGCCCCCGCGCAGACGCAAAACTCAGCGTCTGATGTGCATATGCTGGGGTGGCCTTTAAAAGGCAAAGCGTGGTACTTTTGCTCTCTCTTTCCTTCCTGTTTCCCGCTTGCACGGTCCACCACGCCTTTTCTTGTAATAAAGTTACACATGGGTTCCTTTGTACCTCGTGGTTTCTTTCATATTCCGCAGAAAGAACATCACTGGTGCCGCGACTCGACCCCGAGCCGAAGTCGGATCTCAGGCTTCAGGAGCCGCCTGGGCCTCCGACTTCCTCCTGGGACACGAACAGAACCGAGGACCTCCTCTACAATGATCCACGTGTTCCATCTGCCTGGGCGAGCTCCAACTAACAACACCGGCTTCTAATCGTGAGTGTCCCCTTCCAGCCAGCTTAACCAACTCTTTTAACCCGGGAATTGACCGGTACTCCTGGTGTTTCTAGGGTTGGGGGGACTTTCCCCAACCGCGGGCCTTCAGGGCCTGGAGTCCCTTCGCTGGCATTCATTCCCAGCTTGTGCCCTTTGCTAAGCCTGTGCCTGGGACGGCTTGGCTTAGCCAGTCCCCATCTGCATCTCGCCTTAATGGGGAGTCGCTCTCACTGTAGGCTTTAGGTGCCACGGGGTTTTTTTGCGAGTGTTTTCATGGCCTTAGTTTTGGGAGGCAAATCGTCTAAAACTATCACTCCAAACTCCCTGCTAGGACGTCTTTTGGATGCCATGCAGCCTCACACTTTGATACCTTCCCTACAGATTTCCACACTCATCTGTCTCTGCTCCAAAAAATGGCCCCGGTATACCTTAGAGGAAAACTGCAAACGGCCGTCTAACGGCACCTTTGACTCCGACATTTTACGGGAGTCATCAAATTATTGCAATCGTACAGGCAGATGGAAAGAACTCTCCTATGTCTCTGCTTTCTTCTATATGGCCCTTAAGACTGACCCCTCTGTCCTCGCTCACTGTTCACCTGCTCACTCTCACTCTACCCGGACAAACACAACCTCACATAAACTTTCCAGTACTAGGTCTCAGGAAGTCCCACATAGATCTTCTTCCAGGTCCAGTCATAAGAAAACCTCACTTAACCTTTCTCCTTCTAGGTCCCCAAAAACCTCACACAAATCCTATTCAAAATCTAAAAAAGCCTCACCTAAGCACCATTTTCCCTCTCCTGTCAGCAGGTCTCCGTCCAGCTCCTCCGGTTACACTTCCTCTCACTCCCCCTCTTCTTGTTGCAGGTCACGTAGATCGCCAGAAGCCTCTTCGGATTCATCCTCCCCATCTCCCTCCTGCTCCCGCATTACTCTGCCTCCTCGGTCTTCCAAAGCCCTGCTGAGTTCCCCTTTCTCTCGTGCCAGCCGCCTTGCTCTGGCACCTTCCTTCACTCCTCCGTTCACACGTTTGCGTGCCACCATGGAGCCTAATCCTGACCAAGCCAAGCCTGCTGCCATCCTGCCATTGAGGGAAGTGGCTGGCGTTGACGGATTGGTTAGGGCTCACGTTCCATTCTCCCTTTCGGAACTCTCCCATATAGCCAAATTACTTGGGTCCTATACGTCTAATCCTACCACTTTCATAAAAGAATTTCAATATATCACTGAATCCTATAATCTCACTTTCCATGACATCTTTATGATCCTGTCCAATAACTTACTTCCCAAGGAGCGCAGGCTGGTCTGGGAGCAGGCCAGACAGCACGCAGATGAAGTTCACCAGACTCTTGCCTCCCACCCTCCTGGGGCAGAGGCAGTCCCAAACCAAGAACCACACTGGGATTATAACACTCCAGGTGGGATCTTGGCCAGTGACCGATTTTGAACTTGTCTCCTAACAGGCCTCTGGAAGGCTGCCCTCAAGGCAGTAAATTATTCTAAACTCTCAGAAATTATTCAGGACACAAAGGAAAATCCTTCTGCAGTTTTGGAATGGCTTACAAAAGCTCTATTACAGTTTACAAAGCTGGACCCAGAGTCCCCTGAGGGCAGACAGCTATTAATGACTCACTTTTTAAATCAATGTTATTGAGACATCAAGGCCAAGCTCAGGCGTTTGGAGAAAGGCCCCTTAACCCCACAGGCGGAAGTCCTGGAGACGGCTTTTAAGGTGTACCATGCAAGGAATGACAAAGCTCGCAACCACTGCCGTTGCCACGTGGTAGCCATGGCCGCTCTGCCAGTCGAGGCGACAGACTACTCGACCCACTCTGTTCATGCTGCCCCCCTGCCTCCCGGGGTGTGCGAGCCACCAGGTCCATGTTTCAAGTATGGTAAGATGGGCCACTGGGCCTGAGGATGCCCTAATCCCCATCGTAATCCCAGGGGACCTTGTCCAAGGTGTCACAGGGAAGGTCACTGGTCTGTAGATTGTCCTTGTGTGCATGGTGGCATGGGGGCATCGAACCCAGAGACTTCACCTGGACAAACCCTGACACTAATTTTTCCACACAGCTCACCAGGACCGTTCTCACCCAGGGCTTCCGAGATAGCCCACACCTCTTCGGTCAAGTCTTGGCCTCTGATCTGCTCTTACTGTCTCTCCCTAAATCCAAGCTCATAACAATACGTGGATGACATTTTACTTTGTAGCCCATCATTGGAGACAGATGCTGTTGCCCTTTTAAATTTCTTATCTAGAGTCTCACCTTCTAAGGTTCAATTATCTACCACTCAGTTCCTTCTACCAAAGAAGAAGTTTTATTGTTCCTGGGAGTGGCCGGCTTCCTGCGTTCCTGGATCCCCTCCTTTTCTCTCCTCGCCCGCCCCCTATATGAAGCAGCTCTCTGCTCTCTGCATGAGCCCCTTCTCCATCCGGTTACCAAACCCTTCCAAAGACTCCAATGGGCCCTTCTCCAGGCTCCAGCTCTTCATCTTCCGGATCTAACTCACCCTTTTTCTCTTTATGTAGCAGGAAAGGAGGGATATGCCCTTGGGGTCTTAGGACATCAACTGGGACCTTCTTTTGCACCTGTAGCATACCTGTCAAAGAAGATGGACCTCACCACTCCTGGACACCCTGCATACGTGCTTTGGCGGCTGCTGAACTTCTGATTCCTGCCAAGCTCACACCCGTCACATCTTAAACCGTTTACTCCTTCAGCTCAAGACAATCCCTCATACATGGTAACTCAGACAGGACCTTGCTCTCTTAAGTTCCAGAGGACACAAGAAAAATAGAGTTCCTACCCTTCACTCAACTCTCTTATGCCAACATATTTTCCTTTCTTCTCTTTTTCTTATATGTAACTTCTCCAAATACCTCCAATGTCATGTTTAAATTTCCAAATAACCACTCAGCTGCTCTTACAGGAATCATCAAACACGGAGCCAAAGATTATAAGCCCAAGTGGTGAGCAAAACCTAAACGGGTCCCTTGACATGACAGATTTGACACTGACTGCAGCAGTGTCCCCTGGATGTTGAGGCAATGCCCAAGATAAAATATTTATTTCCTTTAAGACAGTTTCTTTAAGCTCCAGGGAGCCAGCTTGACCCACTTAAATGGACCAGACTCAAAACTGAATAAGTATCATTTAATTTTATTTTATTCCCCCCACCTCAAATTTTCCCTTTAATTTTTTTCCTCTTCTAACATGACTTGTTTCCCAGCTTCTCAAGACTCAGAGTGTGGGAGAATTATCTGTATTCTGTCAATTATGTATTTTAATAAAACGCTGATTGGCCAGGCAGGAAGTATAGGTGGGTCAACCAGACAGGAAGTAGAGGCAAGGCGATGGATGAGAACAGGAATATTCTGGAAAGCAGGAAGCTCCCTCTGCCACTCCTGCGCAGACCACCAGAGAAGCAACATGTAACCTGCCCAGCTGAAAAAGGTACCAAGCCATATGGCTAACAGATCAGAATAATGGGTTAATATAAGCTATGAGAGTTAACAAGAAGCCTGACCAAATGGGCCAATCAGCTTTATAACTTATAGAGATCTCTGTGTGATTGATTTTCCTTGGGACTTGCCGGCTGTGGGGTACCGGACGGGACAGAAACCCCAACAAGCCGGCCCTCATGTTACACTAGAGAGATGCGGTTTCAATCAGATATCACAGGACACCAGCGGACAGGACACGATCACCAGGATGCATCGGACACCCCGAACCCCTCAACGCCCATAAAGTCAGTAGGAAGCAGTTATGAGACACCGGGCTATGCCCCCATTCCCTACTTATTAAGACCCTCAACCCCCCAAATTTTTAGCAAATCAAAAAACGTGGAATGTTACTCTCCTGGGGAACTACATTTCGCAGGAGGCCCCTGTGCACAGGCGCAGAGTACAGCATCGTCTGCCTGACTTGGAAGACTTCATTTCCCAGAAACACATGCACCCACAATGCAAAGCAAAAGCCCCCCCCCCCCGCGCAGACGCAAACACAGCTTCTGATGCGTGTACGCTGGGGTGGCCTTTAAAAGGCAAAGCGTGGTACTTTTGCTCTCTCTTTCCTTCCTGTTTCCCACTTGCATGGTCCACCACACCTTTCCCTGTAATAAAGTTACACGTGGGTTCCTTTATACCTCGTGGTTTCTTTCATATTCCACAGAAAGAACATCAATACCCCAATTACTAAAGATGCTTAAACCTAAATTATAACCTCCCAACCCCAAATACCCACCAAGGAAAGACTTTTTCTACTGTTTTTTTTTCTTGAGACAGATTCTGTGCAGCCTTAACTGTACTGAATACTCAATGTAGATCAGGTTGCCCTCAAAATCAGAGATCTAGCTCCTCTGTCACCCAAGTCTTGGGATTAAAGGCACACACTACCATGTCCAGTCAGGAAGTCACTTTATGATCAGAACCAACATTATATCACATAATAAAAAAGCATCCTTGTGTTTGTTGCAGATCTTCAGAGTAAAAATTGAAAAGCATTAAGACAAATATTTTCAGAGCCTTGTTACAAGCTGTCAATGTGGCTATTATAGTTTAAAGTGGAGATCAGCTAGACCTGATGGCACTTCCAGGAGTCTGAGGTGGATGATTCCTGGTTGGAAGACTAAATGGGCTAAATATCAGAACCTTGTTCTTTGAAGAAACACAATCAAAAAACCAAAAAGACCAGTAGTATATGCAAGCAAACCTAGTGGTGGGGAGATACAGGCAAGATTGTTAGCAGTTACAGGCCAGCTTGGCCTACACGAGACACGTATCTAAAAAACTAACATCACTGAGTGTGAGTGCCCGAAAAGAAAGCAACACGATGTGTATTTCTGCCATCACTGAGGGGTCTGGGCAGGGCTCTGAATGTGATCCCTGTGGGCTGTACTCTGCAAGGAGAGGAAAGGGAGTCCCACTGCTGTTTTACCTGTCTGGCTATCTTTGGGGCTAAACCTTTCTAGAGATTTCTATCTTAAATTTTTCATCCTTTGAATTACATGTGTCAATGTGATAGTTAATCCATTCTTTTAAATTACCGTACTACATCCTACTTTTATATTTGATTTCTATTGAAGGATTTTTAGCTCGGGGCTGAAGAGATGGTTCAGTGTTTAAGAGCACTGGCTACTCTTCCAGAGGACACAGGTTCAATTCCCAGTACCCACATGGAAGTTCGTTTCAGGGGATCTGACACTTTCACTGTCATACAAGTAGGCAAAATAGGCTGGGGGTGGTGGTGTATGCCTTTAATCCCTCACTCGGGAGGCAGAGGCAGGTGGATGTCTGTGAGTTCAAGGCCAGCCTGGTCTACAAGCATTAGTTCTAGGACAGGTTCCAAAGTTACAGAGAAACATTGTCTCAAAAAAACCCAAAACCACATGAAATAAAAATAAATAAATCATTAAAAAGAGAGAGAGGCTGGAGGATAGAAAATTCTGGCTTATTTTGGGCTACATAGTCAGACCCTATCACAATAAATAAAGAACAAAGATCTCATTTTTTAAAAAATGGAATTTTTAGCTCAACTTGCTGTTTTTAGCTTCTGATTGGGAGCTCAATAATCATTGATACTGTTTTCTACTTTATGTTGTTCAAATGACAGAGGACAAGAAAGAAGTATATAAGACAAAGGTTGTGTCCTGCCCACCCTAATGCTACAAAATGGGAGGCCTGACTTCCCACAACCATTAAGTCTCTGAAGACACACAACCACCTCAAAGACTACAGGTCTGAGAAAGAAAAGAAAAAAGACATCTGTACATTTTTCTTAACACGACTAAAAAATATTTTGGTAAGAAAAAAAGGTTTACTGTTGCGGGAATTCATTCAGCCAATAGTCTTTTAGGAACCAGTCCATTAGGGTGTGGTCTGAGGTATTATAAGCACAGACAAAAGCATGCTCAGGCCTTTTTTCCTTTCACCTGGTTGGTAATCTGTGGCCAGTTCACTCCAGTGCCCACACAGCAGAGGACACAGTGGCTCTTTTATTTCGATTGATCCCCAATACACATTTGTTATCCTTTGTTATGTGTTCTTGTGGGCCTTCCTTTAATCATGCAACATTCTCCATCCACTGCGGCCAGATCACAGCTCCCACTACTCCCTGCCTCCCTGCCACCTGTCCTCATGCCTGTGGCTCAGCTCCCTTCCACTTCCCACCCCTGCGTGCTCTCCTGTGGCTGCCTCACTGCTCAAGTGCAGCTTTGTTATATATTTTACTATTAAAGTTAAAACCTTCCTTTTTATTTACACAGAAAAGGGGGAATGATGTGGGATGTCCTTCTACATATGTGTTGCTCTTATTGGCTAATGAAATAGAGCTGTTTTGGCCAATGGCTTAGCAGAGTAAAACCAGGTGGGAAATCAAAGCCAAGAAACAGAGAAAAAGAAGACGAAATCAGGTCAGACACCTGTCAGACACCAAGGAAACAAGACACATAGAAAATGAGATAAAGCCACAGCCACGTGGCAAAACATAAACTAATAGAAATGGTTAATTTAAGGTATAAGAGCAAGCTAGAAATACATGTGAGCCATCGGTCAAACAGTGTTATAATTAATGTAGTTTCTGTGTGATTATTCAGGTCTGGGCAGTCAGGAAACAAAAGTGCAGTCTCCATCTATAATTTGGCCCAGCCCATCTCCCCTTCTCCCCTGAAGAAAAGGAGGCAGCTCAGGAACCAGGTCCTTGGCACAAGTGTTCCTAATACTTCAATGTGTGGGTGAGAGAGGTGATGGTTTGTTTCTCTTGCAAGTAGAATCTCAGACCTACTTCTCTTTTAACTCTTCCTCCCTTTGCAATGGAGGAAGGCTCGGAGCTATACTGGGGTCCTGAACACCCAGTGCAGTTGCTAGCCAGCTAATAAAGATTTTATTTTGACTTAAACTCATGTCTGAGTAGCCTTCTCTAGTGGGTACTTCACAAACTTCCTGGAGGCCCCAGGGAGATCCCCAGATACCAGATCCCGACAGTGGAGGTCTCAGAGGCCATCAGAGTGGGGAAAGAGTTCAGGGGTCAAAGAGCTCCTAGGGGGTGTGCAACCCCGGTTCCAGGACTCCCTCTGATCAATTGCTGCCTAATGCTTTGAGGATTCTGACACCTCTGGAAGTAAGTCTGGTCAAAGCGTCTTCTGGGGGAGGTGTCAGACTGCCCAGAAGAATTAGGAACACGAAGAGAAGCTAGATACAACCATTGGTCCAGTGTCCTGGATGCGTGTAAGACCTCAGTGGACTCCCCTGCTCTTTTCAGGTATATGAATGTATAGTGGCTTACCCTAGCTATTGTCTCTGTGTTTCTGTCAGTTCTCTTGGTTGGAGAAACAGGTATAAAATGTATAAAATGGAAGTGGGAATGAGCCATCCCAGAACTAAAGTCACCCAATGCTGCCCCTAGAACAAATTAGCACAAGTCACAAACAGTGCTGCACCATGCCCTCCAACCTCCCCACCCCCGCTTCTGACAGGCTGAAAAAAGACTGCCCCATCTAATAATGGGCGTCACTGCCCAGAGACAGGAACCTATAAAGAAGTCAGTGGCCAATTTGTCCAAAAAACTTGATTCTGATTCTTCTGACTTGTTTCTAGCTGACTTGTTTGTGGATAGTTGCCATTACAACCATGTTAAAAAAATATATAAAAAATAGACTCTGGGTCAGGAACCATTCCTAAGCTCCCCATACCCCGGAGTGGTCTTCCTGAGGAGAACCCCTGAGACTTTGATGTCCAACATCCAAATGATGATCAGGACTTCTGGAGCAACCCTGTATTGGACTTTGTAAAACTTCAGTCATTAACCCTAGCCAGCCTGCTGCCTTACACACAGCAGTAAGAGAGCATGAGCAGGGCTCCGGGAGGCCTCCAGGAGGGGAGGGGCTTCTCGCAGAATCCCCCACGCCACGCCCCTGGAGGGCGGGACTTACGTGTCCCACGCCCCTGGGGACAGGTGACAGCAGGAAGACAGCTTCCATTGCCTAGGAGGCCCTAACCACAGCAGGCCAAGGAAGCAGGCCCAGGGCCACCTGACGAGTTTATGGCAGTGACCCACCCAGACTTCAGGCCCCCACCTCCTAGCAAGCATCCCTCCCGTGCCCGGCGTGTACCTGACACGCTGAAGCGTGGAATCCGCATAGCCTGCGCGGTTGGAGACCTGCAGTGCGCGCTCCCCGAGCTCAGCCGCCTTCCCGCGCAGTCAGACCAGTACACGGTCCTGCAGCCGTCGACGCCTCCTTCCCTCCCAGACCCCTCCAAGAGGCCTCCGGGATCGCTGGCGCCCGTCACTGCCATATTGCGGTGAGCACCCCACGGCCCTCCCTAGGGAGCACTTCGCGGCGACGCCCACTCCGCGCGTGCCCTCGGCTCCAGCTGCCGTGACTAGGGGTCTAGGCCGGCCGCGCAGCACCTCCTCGGCTGCCGCCTGGAAGCAATCCGGGAACCGATTCAAACGCTCTCTTGGCCGGGGTGCCACGCGTCACTTCCGCGACCCGCGGAGGCAGGGATGCTCCGCTCGCGCCTCGGAGTCTGCAGGCTGTGTCCTCCACCACCCACGAGAGCCTGGCTTCCTGACCCGAGGGCAGGCCGCCACCGCGCAGGATGAAGACAGAGATGGGCGTGGCTGGCGAGTCCCGCAGGCCACGGGGCGGGGCGGGGCGGGACGGGGTTCCCCGCGGTTCCCCAGGCTATGGGCGTCCCCTCCGCCCTGGGGAGGGGGGGGACCATTGACAGCGGGAAGCCCCCTCCCAGCGCCTCTAGGCTTCTGACCACCTACTCCCACAACTGGCTCTATTGTGCTGTCCTTGGATTCTCTCACCTTTCTTAGTCAACGCACTAGTGGAAGTTTTAGCCTAGCAACTAGGTAAGAGAAAGAAAGGCCACATAAATAGAAAAAGTCACATTACCTGTTTTGTAAAATAAGTAAATAAAGATTGTACCAAAAGACTACTAAATGTGATAAATTCAGTAATGTTGCAGGGTATAAAACTAACGTGTAAACATCAGTAGCATTTTTCATTACAGTAACAAAAATTAAGAGAAATTGTGAAAATAATCCAATTCACAGTAACTGCGAAGAAAAGAGAGAGGGAGGGAGAGAAATGGGGAGTGAAGGACGGAAGGGGAAGAAAGGAGAGAGCAGTGGGGAAGAGAGGAGAATCTAAAAGTCTAGGCGTAAGTTTAACTGAAGACGTGCAGTACAAATTAACACGCGTGGAAGAAACTGAAGGAGGCAGGTACACAGAAACCTACACAGAGTTCCCTCATGTAGAAGAATTTATATCGATTTTTTTTAAAAAAAAAAACCTGTATTACTCAAAGTAATTTTGTTTTAATGCAACCCCATTAAAGTACCAAGGACATCGTTCATAGAACTAGAGGAAAAAATTCTGAATGGCATATTGAAGCACAAGAGTTGCCCAAGCAATATTTTTTTTAAGAATTTTCTTTTCACTGATGTGTGTGTTCGTGTCTGTGGGTGCCTGAATTGAGCAGAAGAAGGTACTAGGTCCCAGGAGCTGGAATTACAGGTTATTCAGAGTCCTGAGATGTGGGTAGCAGAAACTGAACTCTGCAAGTATCCCGGCCAGCGGGATGCAAACGGGGGTCCCTGATAAACTTAGTGGAGAGGAATGAAAGGAGACAAGAGACACGAGAAATGACGGCAAGACAGGATTTCTGATCAAGCCGTCTCAGTTTATTTCCTTAGAAGCTGTTATATAGCAAACGGGCAAAAGGGGGAAGGGAAGGGTGTCAGGAAACTCAGGTCTGCTGGAATTCAGGTCCGGAGGCATCCCCAGCTGATAGGTGAATACTGAGGGTCTGTGATTATTGACTAACAAAGGAAAATGCTAATGAGTTTCCAGAACCTGGTTCCTGCAGGTCTCTGCTAGGAGATAAGACGCCAGGTTGATTTTCTAGATCCTGCGGCGGGAGCGGGGGAGGGGGAGAGGTAAATATTTTTCTTAACCTGTGAGCTTAAAATGGCTGTAAACAAAATGCAGGTCTCAAAAATACAGGTCTTTGCTTCCGGCATGCAGGAGCAGCAAGAATGTTTAACTGTGGAGCCATCTCTCCGGGCCTGTGAGCTCCAGAAAAGGGTGAAACTTGAAGTCATTATAACGCCTCATTTTGAGCAGTGCTAAGATCTGTAGCCACAAAGCAGCGGGACACTGACATTAAAAAAAAGAATGTTCCCCAAAATAAATCTAACCATCTATAGCCAAACATTTCTTGATGAAAGGCACCAAAAACCTATATGGGAAAAATAATCATCTTCAATAAACAGTGCTAACAAAACTGGATATCCACGAGAAAAACGGAACTTTGACCCTTATCTGTAAGGCTGTGCAAAAATCAATGTGGGCCAAATATCTAAACGCAAGGCTTAAAACATGGGCAAGATACTTCAAGATACTGGCACAGACAATGGATTAAAGTGTGGCCTGAAATGTACGGGAAGCAAAAGTGAAGACGTGATTATAGGAAATCAAAAAGCATCCCAAAGCAGACAGACAGATGGGAAGAAATGTCTGCCAATCACTCACAGGATCAATGATAATATAAGCTCCTCAAACAAAACAAAAGTAACCCAAGGTAAAACAACAAGGGGAGGGGCAAATGATCTGAATAGACACGTTTCAAAATAAATGCAAATGGTCAGAAAATCTATTTTACAGTGATTAGTGCCACTAGCAACCAGGAGAAAGTGAATACAAATTGCAATACGAGATGTCAGTCCAGTTACAATACCTAGAACACCTCCCCAAATTAGTTACAGAAAAATCAGTGCTTCCAACGAAGTGGAGAAAATAGGAATTCCATACATTGTTGGCGAATATACAGATTTGCATAGCCAGTAAGGACCCGTGGAGCAAGATCCCTTTTCAGCTTCCTCCACCCAACACTACAATCCAACCCACCCATCACTAGCCTGGTCTCTCCCTCACTGGCCTTCCCTGTCTTGACTCCGCACTTCTCAGTTATAGCCCCGCCCCAAGCAGAGTTGGAGAAGTGGTAAGCATACCTGTCTGTTGACCTCGCCTCCACAGGTTGGCTCTGCTCACCCCACCCTGTAGGCTGGTTGGATGCTCAGGCCTGGCTTGCTCAAGTGGGTGTGGCCTATGGAAATTAGGACGGAGTCTACCGATAGGGAAGTGGATCTGGAAGCAGGGAGCACACAGAGGGGTCGGGTCGGTCTGGGGGCGGGCGTAGCAATGGGAGTAAGGGACAGCGTGAGGGGCGGGTCTGGAGCTGGCTTCCCCCTCCCCCCCACCACCATACCTTCCAGTGGCGGTTGGATAGGGGCAGTCTTCTCTAGACGTTGTCCAAGTAGAAGCTCTTGATTTCCTGGAGACAGGGATGCTGGGAACTCGGCGGTTACGGCGGTTGAGAAGCCTGGGGACTGGACTCCTGACCGCGGAGTTTGGGCTCCAGGATGGAAGATGGATGGAAGGTGGATGGAAGGACCAGGACGGCCTCCTGGATTTCAGTGAGGATCTGAGCTACTGGACCATGGTAAACCCATTCCTGGTACCAACAGCCACTTGCCAGGAAGGCTGGGGCTAATGGTTAATTCCCTCCCCTTAGATTTCCACATTTTGTTGAGAATAGTTTCCCTGTTACCGTATCAGTAACGGAGGAGGCTGAAATTGATAGCAGCGTACACAAGCGCTTTGACCAGTAAGGGCGATAATGAATTTGCTCTCGGCCCAGGGCGAATGGGGAGAAATCAATGTGAAATTTCGTTTGATCTAACTGCCTCATCAACTCTTTGAGGGAAGTATTAGTTTTCACTGTGCGGGTGAAAAGATGAAGGCTTAGGGAAGCAGCTTCCCCACCGCTCTGCAGGAGGAGCCGAACCAAACCATGCGCTCAGGGTTTGTAGAGAAGACTTGGTGGTTAAGAACACAGTTCCCAGCAGCTCCTAACTGTAACTCCAGTTCCAAGGAACCTGATGCCTTCTTCTTGCTTCCCCGGACACCAGGCAGGCAACACACACACACACACACACACACACACACACACACACACACACACACGTCTTGAAAAACGTCTTAACGTAAGCTGAAGCCATAATGCCGCTCCCAAACCCAGTGTTTTCTTCTTAAAATTCTACAGAGCCAGCTCCCAATTTTAGCAATATGCCAAGTTTTATTTTTTTAAGCCCAATACGGACTGACTGATTTCAGTAATCAGTTTCACTGTTGGGCCTTCCACTAGTATAGATTAATTTCTCTGATTCTTAAGTGATATTTTTAATCTACAAGAAAGATGGTATCCCTTAAAAGGTCAAGGGGAGCTGGTTAGTAACCAACACAGACAAAACTCCCCAAATAGAAGGTGGATTGGGGGTGAATTGTATGAGACGTTCAACAATTTACCTTTTCAACTAAGACTTCTCCGATTGTCCGTGGTAAAGCCTTGCTTTTACCTTCCTATCTGCTGTAGATTAATAATTTTGTAAAATATTCTAAAAATGTAGGCTTTCATGCCTGGAACTTTTTTCTCCCCAGATCAGTAACAGAGTACCTGGGAATTCTGATTATAGGCAAAACTCTAGATACCCACTCTAATGAAGTACAAAAGTTATCATCAATGCTACAGGTTTATAATGCAGTATATTTTAAGCCCTTGGGTTGTTCAGAGGCAATGCAGTCTCTTTCTAGTTGTGTCTTGGTAGCCCCAATCCTGACTACAAGTCCCAAACTAGCCCCTTAGTTAGAATTAATGCTGGCACACATCCCTTCCGATGACTAAAGGAGCAGTCAGTGTGGGTGTGATGCTAGAACGTAGCCTTTGCTTTGCAACAGCTGTCTGCTCTGATAGATACTGACAGACACTTGCCTGGGAAGTTAATATCAAAGCGTATTGACTCAGGTACTGGCACCATGCACACCCTACTCCCCACCCACTTCCAGTCTCCGTCCTGGGGATCAGGCTGCCTGCAGGCTTGTGCTGTTAACCTCGCCCCATCCTCTGGAGTTTGAGACTCTGACTCTGCAGACACTGCATGCAGTTTTGTCTCTGGGACTCTCCTCGGAGCCCCTGGAATGCTGTGAACAATATAAAATGGCCTTAGTGTCTAGGAACCCTCAGTGTCACCTTGACCCCCCCCTCTCCTCCCAGCCAAACCCCAACAGCTTGCAAAAACCAGCAGGTGGTGAACAAAAAAAGCAATGATTATGTGGTTTTGGCCCGTGCCTGGGACTTCAGCTCCCGCAAAGAGCCATTTTCCTTGTTTTCTGGAGTGCCCAGGAAGACAGTGAAGGTCTCCAGGCGCTGGCATTACTTTCCCCCATCAGAAATGACATCTCCCGTGGAGTGTCACAGGATTGATCTTGAAGACACGCCCTTTGTCTAGTAGCATCTGGGATGTTTTGTGGTAGATGCTCGCTTTGAAAGTGAAAGGCCGTTTCTTTGACATTTATCTACAGCACAGTGTGGCAGTCTGGGGCGAGATTGTCTCAGGTGCACAGAGACCAGGTCATGCTGGGTTGCTGGTCTTTCTCAGCACCTGCATTTGCCTGAGTCCACAGCATGGGCCTTGACAGAGGTTGTGACAGTTTCCCTAGGCCTGGTGATGAAGGCCATATGAAGGACATGGGCAGAAGGGTTTCAGGTGGAGGGACGAGAATTTGCAGACCTTCTCCAGGGCTGTACTGTTTAGATTCTGTCAAAAGGACACAAACTCGAGTCACCTGGGAAGCTGGAACTTCAGTTGAGGAATTGCCTCCATCAGACTGGTCTGTGGGCATGTCTGTCAGGCATGGTTAATGATGGATGAGAAAGAGCCCAGCTCACTGTCGTTCCTGGGGAGGTGGTTCTGGGTTGTATAAGAAAGCAGGCTGAGCAAGCCATGGGGAGCAAGCCTGTGAGCAGCATCCCTCCATGGCCCCTTCTTCAGGTCTCTCTTTGGTTTCCTGGCCTGCTTGAGTTTCTTGCTTCCTCCGATGGTAAACTGTAACCTGTAAGCCAAAGCAACCACTTCTTTTTAGGGTTGTTTTTTTGGTCATGGTGTTTATCACTGGAACATAAACTCAATTTGTTCAATTAGTTTTTTTGTTTTTTCTTCTTCTTTCTTTTAGAAAGCCTCTGTTCCCTTGGGCATGCGTTTATTTCATCATAAGTTGGAATTTCTGCTTCTGGCAAATGCATTTCTATTGTGGCATCCCGAGTGAGCCAGGCATAGCAGAAGATTGAGGCTCTGTAACATGAGGGCCGGCTTGTTGGGGTTTCTGTCCCGCCCAGTACCCCACAGTCGGCAAATCCCAAAGAGAAATCACACACAGGACTCCATAAGGTTATAAACTGATTGGCCCATTAGGTCAGGCTAATTATTAGCTCTTATAACTTATGTTACCCATTATCCTTATCTACATTAGCACATGGCTCAGTACCTTTTCCAGTGGGGCAGCTTACATCTTTCCTCTCCGGTGGTCTGCGCAGGACTGGCTGAGGGAGCTTTCTCCTCCCTAGCCTTATCCTATTCTCATTGCCCCGCCTCTACTTCCTGTCTGGTTGACCCGCCTATACTTCCTGCCTGGCCAATCAGCGTTTTATTAAAATACATGATTGACAGAATACAGACAATTCTCCCACATCAAGGCTCCCTTGAACACAGCTCACTGATACTTTTGTTTCTTTGTGTGTCTGTTGCTACTTGACTTTATTTACATCTTCAATGATCTGCAGGACATTTTCCTGGACACCTAAGGAGGCCGCTACCACACCTCCTCTGTGAAAGCATGGTCCGCTTTGGAGAGCTCAGTCTTCTCGCGTCTGCGAGGCTTGCCAGAGTGGGAAGGCAGACGATCTCCCAGAAGAACTTGAGCAGCTTCTGAAATGCCTTCTGATTTGGTGAGTCTTGAGTCTCGTGTGTTAAGAGACACTCAGGCCACAGAGGGCACTGACTGCAGGCCTCTCAGCAGTGCTAACCTTTGCCAAACAGAAGCCACTTTACACAGGAAGGATGTAGAACACAAACTGAAAGGCTCTCTCCTCGCATATCCCCACTCTGATTTTCTGCTTTTGTTTTTTTAGGGAAGTATTTTCCTGGAACTTGCCCTCGTGGGAGTGAACCCTGGCATGCTTAAAAATCATCTGATTTTCTGACTCACTCTCCCAGTGGCCTCTACCAAGGCTCCACTGAACACTCAATACGCACAGGAGCAGACCATGGCTTGCTCTGTCTTTATAACGTGATTATATTAACATGATTTCCTGTTGATTGTATGGCATCTCTCCAGCGTCACCACCCACCTGGGAAGGTACCTTGAGAATCACATTCATAGAAGTAGTCAGACGTCCTTCTCCAGCCGTGTGAAGTTTCAGTTCTCTCACAGGCTGACCACTTCCTGTCTTCTTACACTGTTCTTCCGGTTATATCACGTAAGGGTTTTTCTGGGCTTCAAAATTCATTCTTGTCTTAGGTGATTTATGGCTGGCAGCCATGAGTTCCTTCTTAGAGTATGTTGAAGGTGTGATTTTAGATGCATTTAGAGACTATATAAGGGACATTGGCCAAAAAATGTGTGATGTCCTATTTTTTTTCCAAGTGCCTTAATAGGTTGTGTATTCAGGAGGGAAATATAATCATTCTAAATTCATTCACATTATCACTACCTATAATATGACACTTGGAATCCCAAATGTTATACTGCATGTTGTTGGAACACTGTCACAGAAGCATGCTCCCCTTTGAACCTTTTCTGAAGTCTTCAGCTGGAGAATTTGAGGCCTGCCTGACACACGGGAAAGGGGCTCAGAAAGCTGCGACTTCTTCAGCAGTTACACTGGACACTTCCATTTCCATTGCTAGGAAATACTTTTGTCTGTGTGTCTCTGTGTGCACACATGCTCACATGTGTGTTGTCGCCTTAGGCCAGAGGTTGACATTAGGCGTCTTCCACATTTTAAATCTTTTTTGACAAGTTCTTCTGTGTTTCATTAAACCTGGTACTCACTGATTGGCTAGGTCAGCTAGCCAGTGAGTTCTGATGACCCACTCGTATCTTCCTACTGCCAACTCCAGGGTCACAGGGCTGTAGGAGCACACTCATTGTCAGGCAGGTGCTAGGACTCACACTCAGGTGGTTCCACACTCACCCATCTCGAGCCTCAGAAACTATCGACTGTCCTTCATGACAGTCGTCTATGGAGCTTCATGTTTACTGAGCAGTTTTTTTCCCAAGCTCATTGAGACTCGGGAACTTAAAGGGATACCGGGTTAGACCCAGGAAGTAGCACAGAAGTCTTAGGAAGCTCCTGAAATTGACCAGCCACACAGAGTTCTCCCTTTCTGAGCTCTTATGACTGTGGGCAACTCACACAAGCCCAAGGTGCCTTAGACAGACTCTGGCCTGGAGACACCTGCAAGTCATAGAGAAAGCTTCAAGGTTCCAGCTTTAGTGAACCCCCAGCCATACTGGGGTGAGCTTTCAGTGACATCCCCACTCCTGTAACTTATTCCCCATACTCAAGCATGGAACCCTAATACACTAATTCATCCATCAAGTCTGGTGTATGTTTGTTGAATATCGTTCAAATTCCCTTCCTCCCAGTAGGGGTGTGTCCAGTGTTCAAGAAGGAAGGATGGGCCCTGGCTGGGCCTCTTCTCCATTGGCTCTCCATTCTTGAATGCCCTGCCTTGAATCAGCTCCAGTCTGATCCTCACTGGTTGAGCATCGGTGAGAAGTTAAAGGCCACCATGCATGGAAGGACACATCACAGTGCTTTCTTTTTCTTTTCCTTTTTTTTTTTTACGATCCTAAGTAATTATTTATTGACGTGTACCTAATATAGCAAGACTGTTTCCAAAGTTGGATAAAAAACTTACAGAAATGGTGTCTTTTTTGCCTGATAGAATTGAATATAATTTTCTTTCTTCTTTAAAAAGTAAACAAACTGTTTTCATTTTGTATACCAATCCCAGTTCCCACTCCCTCCCCTCCTTCCATTCCCTCCACCTATCCCAGCACCCCACTCCCCATCCCAGTACTTCCTTTTGGTTAGCACCAGACAGACTATTGGTGCTGAAAGCACGGGGTACAGGGTTCTTAAAGATCAAAGACCACAGAGACCACAGTGCCATCAGGTATAGAAAAGGGACAGAGGAACCTTGTAGCATCTATTTTAGCAGGACATAATTTCAGACACAACATGACAATTTATTATTTACACCATTTCTGCTTATTTTTATGTTGGGTTTGCATAAACAGTTATTTTGGTTAATACATCTGGACAGGGTCTTAGGCAATCCCAGGTGAGTTGCCAAGGTATACGTGCAGGGCTGGGGACAGGGTTGAGAAGTTTCTAAGCAGACACATAATGGAGTCAGTACAAGATGACATCACCTTGGTCACTTTAGCTTCCCCATCCTCCCACACTTGTGGGGCTCTGCACGCCTGGCCACTTCACCCCTTGTCTGAGTCCAGGGTTTCTGTCCTGAGTTTTGGAACTCAAGGTCTGTCGAGTTTCCCTTGGCCCAGGACCTCCACTAGCCTGACTTTTTATGAACTGGTGGTCTCTGTGCCCTTGCCCGGCCTGGGCAAAGAGGGTGGATGTGTGGCACTGTCGCGAAGGAGTGCAGGAAAGTCACTGCTGCCTCCAACTGGACCTGGGATTCCGGCCGGTGGACCCGAGGAAATCAGTTTGATGGTGACTTAGTTTCGAATCAACAGCCTCTGCTGCCCCCTCGTGACAGATGCTGGGAAGCACAACATCGTTAAAAAGTTGCTAAACATAAAGCAAGCTGGTGTCTAAGGACTCAAAAATCTGGTAAAAAGCTGGTCTCAGAACCCTAGAAGAGAGGTGTGGCTACCAATAGGCCTGGAAAATGAGGGAAGGACTTGTGAGGTTGGTCTACGGGTACAGGAAGAATTAGGAGGAATTAAGTTAATGATGCAGGTTTCGAAATGGCTAGAATTGAGCTTGAAGGCTGTAACCCAAAGAAATTTGTGTTTTGGCTGATAAATATGTTAATTATTCTGATCACACAATGTACATGAATGTACATGAATTTAAACATCTCGTGTCAACTGGAAATGAAGTAAAAGCAAAGGATCAAAATAAACCCAGTGCACCCCTGTTCTTGCTACTCCTATACTGTAGCCGCTGTGGCCAAACTTACCTGAAACTTACCAGTTCTCCAGGGGACTCCAAGAACTGACTTGCACTAAAAACATAAAGTAGCTATAAGAGAAGGTGATTTTTCAATGTCACTGAAATGGATTTTTGGTATAGAGATATAAACATCATTTCAAACATGCCAACTGTGGGGCCTTTTAAGAGGGAATCCATCTGCTAAGCTGGCCATCCCACGGTGTCACTGAGTGTAAAAAGGTGAGCTATCAGTAAGATGGACTGGACATGTATTGGGTCGACCCGGAGACAAGGGAACAGCTCTCCAACTGGAAAATTTAGATCTGAGGTTCTGGGTCTACAGACCAAGGAAGGACCTAGGATAACTCTTAACCCCGTCTGTGGGCATCGCTTCTCCTGGCTCTTGCGTGAGTACGAGCCACGCATGATATCCCTGCATGATAATCTCATGCACACCCAGAAAATGATTAAGACCCTCTCTGTGGCACTGTGCTGGAGCAGATACTGGAAGTCTGAACATTTCTAAACTTCTTCAGATAAGGGTCCTGGGACCTTCTTCACTTGTGAAACTGGCATATGGCACAGACTCTACATGAACTGGACTGGAACCTGGGGTAGCGGGGACTCCATGTGACCGGACTGGGGTAGCAGGGACTCCATGTGATTGGATCCTGGGGTAGTGGGGAGTGCTATGTGTTGAGAGATACTCACGGAGGACAGACAGGCTGCTGCCGTCTAGAGACATGGATTACACCCCAGGGCAGGCTGCACACACTGTAAAAACGCTACAAGGTGGCAGAGCCATCACTGAGAATGAACAAATGTCAAGTTCAAGTTCCCGAACACAGTGAAACAATGCTAGTTAAAACACTGAGCAAAAGGCAGTTTCAAAATTCTATTTACCCTGTCAGCATTGGGAGTAGGACTGAACATTCATTCTCCTGTAATGGTTACGTTCGGACTGGCACCTACCTATCTGTCTTCTATCACATCTATCTAACAACTTTTAAAATACATTGTAAAAGCCTTGCTAACACCAGTACATGTCCCCTAGGTTTCAACCCCTCTGGTTGAAAAGTTACGTTTTTGCAGATTTTCTCCCCGAGAGGTAATATTTCCAAGGAAAGGAAATGCATAGATCTTGATCTTAAGATCACCAAATGTTGAAGCGGCACACATCCCCAGAACACTGTACCCTCTTGGGCTTCTGTTAATGCCCGGAGTTCCGGTTCCACCCTTAGCATGAGGAGGAGCCTTCAGTTCGGGCTGTTTCCGTGCATAAGCAGTCCTGCAGCTTGTTTGAATTTCCTTTCCCCAATGATTCACCATGTTTAATTTCTTTCATGTGTTTTATTTATTTTGTGATAATTTGTATATCTTCTTTCCGAAGTGAGATGCTATTTTAATTTGAAAATCTGTTGTTGCTTATGCTAACTACAGGGGTCTCACTGGACACGCCCACGCATGCTTGCCCTGCAGGGGTCTCACTGGACACGCCCACGCATGCTTGCCCTGCAGGGGTCTCACCGGACACGCCCACGCATGCTTGCAGTGGGATTTGATCATATCCACCCCACGTTTGCAATAGCCCCCCTCCTGCTGGTCCATCTTGTAGGTTCACGCCACTCTGTAGTATTAGGAAAGCGTATGACACCTGTGACCGTGGGACTGGCCACCTAGAACCATCTCCAGTCCTATCATTTTCCTGCAGATGACACTTTCACTGCTGTGACCAGATTAAACACCATCGTATATGTGAGCCATGTCTTTATTCATTCTCCGGTCACTGGATACCCAGGCTGATTCTGACTTGGCTGTTATGAATATTGCTGGGATAAACAGGACTGTGCAGGCATCTCCACAGCAAGTTGACTTCGATTTTCCCAGGCACAAGCCCAGAAGTGGAAGGGTTGGATCAGACGGAAACTGGCTTCTACAGTGCTGACCTAGCTGATGATTTTACCAAGAACACAATGGTGTCGTCTACTGCTGCCTCCTCACCAGAACAGAACTGGTTTGCTGACCAGGACACGGCAGAGTCATCTGAATGTAGTATTTGTTTGCATTTCCCTAATAG